CTTATGAGTAAAGCAAAGAAAAATAACTTATAATATGCAACGACACTCCTTCTGCCATATTGCCCCCAGTGGCACAGCGGTATGTCTGCGGACTTATAACGCTAGAATCCGGGTTTCGATACCCGTAGTGGGCAGAGTACAGATAGCCCATTGTGTAGCTTTGTGCTTAATTACAAACAAACAAACAATCTGCCATATCCTGTGCTGATGGGACCTATATCCCAATATCAAGTCTTATCAAGCGATATTTATAACATCAGTTTCATGATTAACAACCGTTATTATTTGAACTAGATTAAATACTGAATTGTAATTATTAATAATTTCATTTAAGTCATTTTACAATTCAGAATTAGGGTAAAGATTAATACCACAATTCTATTTAATGAATTCTTATTTTGACACCGATTTTTTACTATAATAAATTTATTTCAATTAACATCAATTACTCATTTATTTGAAATGTTCAGTTAAGGGGTAAAATGAATAAAGTGAACAGGTTATGGAATATGTAACTAAAATAGCGACATTCCAAGGTACACAAGACTTCAGATTATAAATATAAACCATACTAACATTGGCTGAGTGTCAAATAGAGTTAACTGGAATAACTTTAGGTCTATGGTTGTTTGTAAGTAATTGAGAATTTTCTTCAATGCAAAATTCAAGATATGAAGATCCTGTAGTTAGAATTAAGAAATCACTACATGAAATATTGTGACGTATGGTTGCAGCATACTTATTCTCTCGATTTGCCCTTGTCCAGGGATACAGATTAGGGATGGAATTCCCGGAAACCAGTACAACTCAATGATAAGTGGTGAATCGAATTATAGAATGAGCTTCAAATTTACTTTATAGCGCCATTTTTTGAGTAAACGAAATCTCAAAACATCATACACAGAGAGGCCTAAGCCTTGGAGTTTAATGTAACAAGTTATTGTTTTTTAAAGTCCCAATCGGTTGTATGTTTTCTGCAAGATAAAATAAATTTCCAAAATATTAAGAAAAACGCCCATGCTTTAACCGTGGGAGTAACGATGGAAAATTATTTCTTGAAACGACCAAACAAGACTGTATTTCTTTTCTTGCAGAAGAAAAGAAAAGTGGTCCAAATTATTGTAAAAACACAAAGACTTATATCTTGAAAGTTTAATAAAGAATTTTTTTTTATTTTTTGTAAAACCGATAATTGCTTTTATCTCTTCCTCTAAAATCAGTTCAAGATGTGGATTCACAAAATGTTGGAAAAATAAAGTAGGAATGTTGATAAAAGAATTTATTTTTTGATAAATACTCAAATAAATACTGGAGGTGGTCACAATTCGGATAAAAATACTGTGGCTGAAACCTTGGGAGTTTAATAAAAATTGATTTTTGAAAAATGTTTCATATGGTGTGTCTCACAAAAATAACAAAGCTGAAGTCTTGTAGTATAATGATAAAAACTGATTTTCCTTTTATTGAAAGTCGAAATGAGGTGCAAAGTAAAACTGAAGATAACGGACAACGTTTTGATTAAAATATCTAGAAGTCTTAGGAATTTTTGCTGAAAAATTTGATTTTTTGAAACGTCCAAACTTTTCCTCTAAAATAAAGGCAAATGTGGAATGTGATCAACATTAAGGAATAGAAGAACTTGATTTTAGAAGTGTTGACGATATAAAACAATTTTTTGAAAAGCCTATTGGCTTTTTTTTTTCTCCTGTAAAATAAATGCAAAAGTAAAAGTCATCAAAATTATAACAAAATTGAGACTTAAGCCTTGGGAGTTCCGATGAAAGAATTCATTCTTAGTTTAAAAAAGACTAAATTGACTGTATCTTTCTCGTAGAAGTCCCCACCTCCTGATAAAATCAAGGGTTCGATTCTCTTCGGTGGACAGAGTGCAGATAGTCCATTATGTAGCTGTGAGCTGTAACAACAAAATAGTTCTCGCAGAAGGAAATGAAAATGGACGATTGTCAGAATTGTCACAAAAATATCAAAGTTTAAGACTTTTGATAAAAATATCTTTTTTTTTTAAATATTCTGATGAGTCTTTCCAGTAAAGGTAAGGCAAAAAATAAAAAGTAGTCAAAATACTGAGAAAAAAAAGACTTATATGTATCTTTCATATAGTATATACTCCAAATTATAGGTGGTGAACTTCTGTCGAGAACGTCAGATCTGGCGTATCTTTCCTGTCAAGATGTAATAAAAACAACCTTTGAAAGATTTTATGGGGAAAAATAGTAAATATCCTTTCCATAAAATATACGGAGAGTTAAAGATGGTTAAAATTAATACAAAACACCCAGACGTAAGCATTGTATGTGTGTGTGGGGAGGAGTGGGAGGTTGATGAAAACAAAAGATTTCTTGAAACTTCTAATTGGAAATAACTTTCCTGAATACAAAAAGCAAAATTATGGTAAAAACACCAAAGTATAAGAAAGTAGTTTGATGGCAAGGAAAATTTATTTTTTTTCTTCTAAAAGCCAAGATCAGATGCATCTTTCTTATAGAAGAAAGGCAAAATTGAGGGTGGTTAAAAGTATGACAAGATAACCAATGCTAAAGCCATTAACAACTAAACATGTGACTGCATTTTTAAAATTGTGCTACGATCCCTTAATATCTTACATTATCTTATCGCTAACTTATTATCTATCTATCTAAATAAAGACGAAATGTGTGTTTGTTTGCGCCCTAACTCTTCCGAACCTATTGGGCCAATCTCAAACAAAATTTTTATGTAAACACTATGAACTGTGGGGAATGTCCTAAGGAGGTCAAAATTGAACTTAACCCTATTTCTAAGTTGTAAAGCCTGTTGGTTAATTACTCCCAGCCTATTGATTCAATCTCAAACAATCTTGGCAGATTGACGCTATAGATGACGTTGAATATTCTAAAGGGATTCAAAGAATTAAAGTTGCTGGATTATTTCTCAAACAACCATGCTTTTCTCATGGTCAATGAAATGTAAGGTGTTCAAGGGTATGATCACCTCAAAATCCTTATTTGTTGGTAGATGGATAGCAAACTACAAATGTTTATGAAGAAGCTTTGTTATAATTATAAAATGTTGAGATAAAGTTTATGATCATGTTATTATTTTGAAATATATGATTGCTGTTAAATTACATAGTTTTAATTATGTTTAAACATTCCCCGTCAGCTAACGGGTATTTCAGCTTGTCTTACACATATATATATATGTTTCTCATTTCTTTTGTTAACTTTTTCTTACAGATCCAGTATTTTTAAACAAGTTGGTAGTGGAGTACGTACAGTACCACTTTTTATTTTCGGTGGAAGGATTTGTTTTTTCTAATGACAGTTATTGCAAATAAAATGAAAGGGCTTGTAATCAAATGCTTGTATGTTTCAAAATTAGTGTTTCTCTGCTTGGATAAAAAATCAAATATACTTGTGAAAAAAAATTCAGACTTTATAATGAATATTAAAACAAACTATTATAACCTGTGATCTTAATGTCAGACAAATAAACATCCGTGGGCCTGGTATGGCCTGATGGTTTGGGCACTCGACTCGCAATCTGCAGGTCAGGGGTTCAAATCCCTGTCACACCGAACATGCTCGCCCGTGGAGGCGTTATAATGTGACGATTAATCCAACTATTTCTTGGTAAAAGAGTAGCCCAAGAATTGGCGGTGGGTGGTGTTGACTAGCTGCTAAATTAGAGATGGCTAACGCAGATAGCCCTCGTGTAGCTTTACGCAAAATTGAAACAATTATAAGCACAAGTAACAATGTATAAGTATTACTGTTATGTATTGAGAAGAAATTCCAGTTTTGCGTTTCATGGGTTTACTTAAGTTCCTAGTATTATTTATATGTTTTTAGCGCAAAGCTACACAATGACCTATTTACGTGCTGCCCACCACGAGGAATCAAGTCTCGAATTTCAGTGTTTTAGGTCCGTAAATATACCACTGATCCACTGGAGGACAGGTCATAGTTATTGCAATCAATTTTATAAAGCTATTACTTGTTGACTTTCTAATACAATATCTAAGTAACGGTAACATATTGCTGGTTTGTTTAGCAGAAAGCTGTACAATTGGATGCCTGTGCTCTGCATATCGCATGTATCGAAACCCGACTTTTAACGTTATAAACCCATAGACTTACCGCCGAGCCACCGGTGATCTCAGTTATATAGAGAATCACAAGAAAATATCTCTTGAATTTTCAACTAAATACAATGTTGTTGTTTTTTGTTTTTTTTATCGCAAACCACTTTGATATATCTTTAGAATTTATTCTTTTTTTTCTCAGTTATTAGCGTAATATTAATTTATCTTTGTTTATTTATTCTGTTCCACAGTACTTGGCATGATTAAAAATAAGTATTTTCTCGTACTGTGTTTCCTTCTTTTGTAGATTCAAATCTTACCACAACTATATTTTTCTCCGAATAAGAAAATCATAAGACTTATTTGTTCATAACCTCTTGGGCTCGGCAGGGCCAAGTGGTTAGGGCGCTCGACTCCCAATCTACGGGTCGCGGGTTCGAATTACACCAAACATACTCGCCCTTTCATCCGTGGGGGCGTTATAATGTGACTGGTCAATCCCACTATTCGTTGGTAAAAGAGTAGCCCAAGAATTTGCGGTTGGTGGTGATGACACTCTAATCTTACACTGCTAAATTAGGTACGGCTTAAATTACTAATGCCAGAAATTTATGTTTAATCTTTTTTTATTGTGTAACAGTGCTATATGATAACTGAAAACCAGTTATTTTTTTCATTTTTAATATTCTTCCACAAAATAATCAGCTCATAGCAACACCGAAATCATAACAAACAGTCTCGATTATTACGTAAGATGTGACAATTCATTCTTTAGCAACAGATAATCGTATCACATGAGTGGTGTACACACTTACCTCGGAGAAAATATCAAGTAGTGGGAGCTAAGAAACCAATCAAACAATAGTATATTATTGTCAGCTCAAATATAGTGAAGCCTTAGTGGGCGAAATCTGGTCTGTGATTGCACTAATTAGTGAAACAGCGTATTTAGATCGTAGTTGCATTCAATAAGTGGAACAATTTGCGTCTTATTGACTTTCTCGATTTCTTTATTTGTTCATAGTTTATTAAAAGTTAATGCTGATATTAATCAAAGAAGAATAAATAAGGATCTACTCTGAAATTTTTTGTAAGCATACGCCATTTACGAAAGCTTTATAGAGAAACTGTTGTTTTATATAAAAACCGGTCTGATCAGCAATTCATCATGATTTCAGAGGAGAACGTTAAGGTTCCTATTGGAATTGTGATCCTGAAGAAGCTATGTCCGTGCGTGAAAGTCAACAAAGATGTTGCGTAAGTTTTTATTGCTATATTTTAATCTCATAGCCATCAATATTAGAAATTCTTCTCTCATTTCACCACGAAATAAAACGTAAACTTTATTTTCCTAAGATAGATAGATAGGAGATGAATTTACTCTAGAAAGAAAACCTAATTTTTCGTCTCGTACCGCGTTAACAGTATATAATTTTTTGTTTGAAAAGAATTCCGAAGTCAAGCAAAAAGGTAATAAAACAGCGTGACTGTACTTTTAAGTTTGAACGCGTGAATTTCATAATCTAGAAATCTCAAACTTCACACACATTAAGAAAACAGAGAAACCTTTTTTTTTTCTGGTTTCGAAGTTTTAGTTTTATCTGTTTTCAAAGACTATGATTGTATTAAACAATAATAATGGCGTAATTGTATGCTGTCTTAATTTGAAGTTAGTATATGATCGGTATTTGCAGGAACCACATTTTATACCATGGTTTTGAAGTATGTATCGAGTCAGTGTTGTAATTTGTTATTAAACTTATTTTTTAAGATGTTTCCCATGAGGTGACGTATTCTGTGCGCATTTGTTCGTAATGAATTTGATCCCTGTTGTTTTTTACATCATCCCTCTTCTACTTTTACGCTAAAGCATAAAATTTAGCTCTTAATTAAGAGGGACTCACTTATTGTCCACCACTAAGCTCACAATTACATTATGGATAACTGATTTATTTTCAGGTTAACTCAATAACCAGTTTTTATAATATTTTACTAATATAACACCTACCATATTACTAGCAAAGCCTAATAAGTATTGAAAGAATTAATATATATTAAACATAGATTTCCTAGACAAATATACGATTGTGTGCACTAGTTCCATACAACTTCATTGCATTATATATATATATATATAATATATATATATATCATCAAATTAAAGGAACAAACGATGTTTAAAAGGGCTTGCAAAGAGCCACGAGTACAGACTATCACCAAGTGATAACTTTATAACTGATATTTTTTTGAATGGGTAGATGACCTTTTACCAAAGTACAAAAGGCAATTTAATTCAATGTAATTGTTATAAGGAGATATGATAAAATGCTCATTGTGACACTTTGATAGTGTAGTCACGCGCCGTAAAACGTGTACATTGCTTAGAACATTCATTGTGCACAATAACAAAGATTATAGCGAAAACCTTTTGTAATTGCGTATATCTAAACAAACACTGAATTGAAAAAAGTTAAACATATAATACGCTGGCAATGGTTACTAAAATATTTATTTCCATTTAATTTTGTTTTTCTTTATTTAGCGGGCTCTAGTTTCATCATGTGGTAGAGCTCTGGATTTTGGAACTGACGATCCGGGCTCGAATCCGTGCGAAACAACAAAATATTTCCCGCACATAAGTCGTGGGTGCGTTATAATAGTGATGGTCAATCCTTTAGCATGGATAGTGGGTGATAAGGTGCTGCTGACTGGCGGCAAATATTCTTAGTAGTTTTGCTATAAATATAAAATACAAAATAATTTATTTAGCAAAAGAAATAATACAAAAGTTGCACATTAGTTACGCTATAATCTGTGATAATCCCATAATTTTGTTTTCCCTCTCTCTCTCTCAAACCGAGGAACATCATTCCATTGTAAATGTTCAAGGTTTCTAGGCGGTATCTAGAACGGTGTTTTCCAAATGTAGAGTTCTAAAGGTAAACCTTATCGACATGGTATAGATGTGCAAAATTGAATGACGTGTATCATCTTGTGTGAAGTATGATTTCTTTACAGTGTAAATTCATACTCAGAGTGACAAGTCATATCAATTTATTGAAAGACGTAAAGAAAATGATAAATATCTTTAACAAAAGATCGATATACGTAGCTTGTTTCGTATAGAGGTCGTGAGAGCTCAGTTCATATACATTCTATTGAAGCTGTTTCCGCCCCATTAGTTGAGTCAAAGCGCATACATTTTACTTTACTGTATGGGTTGGAACATATGTTACGGCATAAATGTTTGGTTTCAAAATATACCATGGCCAGGTGGTTAGGGCACTCGACTCGCAATCTGCGGGTTGCGGGTTTGAATCCTTGTCCCACTAAACATGCTCACCCTTACAGCCATGAGGGCGTGATAACGTTACGGTCAATCCCACTGTTCGTTGGTAAAATAGTCCAAGCGTTGGCGGTGGGTGGTGATGACTAGCTGCCTTCGCTCTAGCGTTTCAGTGCTAAATTAGGGACGACTAGCGCAGATTGCTTTCGTGTAGCTTTGCGCAAAATAGAAAACAAACAAACACCTCGATGGTATATTCAGATATAGACATACGTGTAGATAAAGAATTCAATAAGAATATACTAGACGCTGCTCTTATAAAGGATTGGCAGAGACTCACAAAATATTTGCAGTCAAACTGATATCTTTATTGCAACAGTACTTCTTTAAATACACGATTTCTAAAATAATACACAATAATTCTAATTGCAGACAACGAAATCTACAAGTTCACTTTTCTTAGCCCTGACATTAGTACGGCTTTTAAGCCTTTATCAAGGTCGACGTATATTCTATAGAGATAGTTAACCCTGCAATTTTTGTTCGTTTCTTATTTTAGTTTAGTTAGCGCTAAACTTTTCCCTTCTTAGTACTATCAATAACCAAACTGATAATGTTATTCTACGACCTAACGTTAGACCTTTTTAAAACCTTTGATAATTTTTTAATATGTTGTTGTACAAAATGTTTAATAAAGTATATTTACATCTGCCTTTTCTTTCCATCTGTTAAAATGAAGTGCGCGCGTCTTTCCAGGACAGACAAAACTAAGTATTATTATGATAGATTAGCAGAAACGCCCAAAAACATTTTCGGTCAAGTTAGTATCTTTATTGCAACAATACTTGTTTAAATACAGGATTTCTAGAATAATACAGAAGAATTCTAATTGCAGACACCGAAATCTATAAGTCTATGTATTTTAGGCCTAACATTATTTAAGCCTTTGTTAAGAATGGCTTATATCCGATAAAGTGATAAATTAACATTGTCATTTGTGGACGTTTTTTGCTTTAGTTTAATTAAGGCTAATTTTACCGTAACTAATACTATCATTAAATAATCTTATAATGCTATTCTACATCCTAACTTTAGACCTTTTTAAATGTTTTGATAAGCTCTTAGTATGTTGTTATACGTAATGTTTGCTAAAATATACTTGCATCCATTGAAATGAAGCGCGTGCGCATTCAGACAGTAAGATGAGCGCTCATTTTCAGGACAGTCAAATATTGTGCATATTTAAAATAGACTAGCAGAAACCCGCTAAAACATTTGAGGTCAAATTAGTGTCTTGATTGCAACAGTAATTCTTTAAATACATGATTCTAGAATAATGCAAATAAATTCTACTCGCAGACACCGAAATCTATAAGCCCACTTGTCTTAGGCGTAACATAGTAAG